AGAATGACATTTGTACCACTTGAATCGTCTACAAAATTTCAGTTATAATCGTTTGTTTACGCCCCGCAATGTTCTTCTAACTTAAGTTGGAACTGAAGATATAAGTCTGGGTGAGTCATTATTAAGAGAGTCTTAACAGTGGAGCTCCTCTGGGAGGGGGAGGGGGGGACACTCTTATAAAGATAACCTGTATTCACTCGTCTGCTCGTCGCTTAAAGCTACTAAACTTTGCCACGAGCAATTCGTTTCGGGCCAAAATGAACCAACTTTGAAGGTTTGCGGAAAATACGCAACATACCTCTAACGTTATCAAACGTATGTAAACAAGAAAATAAACGCTTCCACAGTTTTTAAAGTTTTGTCATTGACCAGGCCTTAGTATATTTTAAATTAGCCAAGTATTCATTATTACCATCAGTTCGCATAGCTCTGCTGTGGACTTTGTGGGCTATCAAGTACTTGCTACCAACCAGGATAATGAGAAACAGAAGACTTGCAATCGAGAGCATTTCCATCAAATATTGCTGAAACATTAGGAAACATCTTACGGTCAAATTTGTCATTCACCATTTTCACATAGACCATAAAGCAGCTTGCTTACCCCCCGCCCCAAATTTTGCATAGCCTTTGTTTCCGATTTCTCCTGGGTATTACAGTCATCCGAAGAGAAATCAAAGACAATGGTTATGCAAAATTTTGGGAGGTAAACAAGGTGAATTATTGTCTATGTGAAAATAGTGAATTCAAACTTTAGCTCCTTACCATTTGTTTCGCAGGTTGTCATTTTCAACAAATGGAAGAGGAGGTCACTGAGATGGAACAGGAGATCATTATTACTAAAAATAACCCACTGCTCCACTTCAGTGGTTCTAAAAAAATGCAAAGGTGCGTTGAATCGGATAACGCACAAAATATTAACCTAGGGCTACGCGCTCGGTCATGATTTTTAAGGAAGGCCTTGGGGCTCTGGCAGTATCCTATATACAAAGGGCGGTTTAGTGTCTCACTTCAATTTCACCTACGTTGCACTGTAAATTTAAAATATGTGTTTTAGCTTTGCATTGTGGGCGCCATTTTAGTGTGTGGAATAAGTACCTCAAGTAAAAGTAAAGTAGGACCAAAATACTGTCGGTTTCAGGGACTTCCCCGACTGAAAGCATGTGTACGGTTTTGCATTTTCCTTTCTTTATCTCTAGGTGGAATTTAGAATTAATTTCTTTGAACAATCATGGTTCTTGGCAGTTGTAGGGATAGGAACGGATATTTTCTCCTGTTGGTATCACATCCCTATTGCTTGTCAGCGTCTCAGGATGAAAAAAAAAAAGAATAGTTGACCTAATCTTATACCAAAAGTTCTCAAGCTCTTTGGTAAGCACATGATCGCCGTAAATCTGTCCTGGCGTTTCTCCGCAGACCTGACCGGTAAGCCTGTGGACTTTGGGTACGATTTGGAATGGCTCAGTGTATTAAAATACCTTGCGAGGAGTTCCGTTTACTGCTAACGTATACACAGCCTTGCTGGCTATGACAAACGAGGAGAGAATAAAACAGATAGCAATTGCTATACAAGCCCTGCGGTAAAGAAAACAAGCAAAATGAAACATACAGTGTAAAATGTTAAGTAATCACTTTTTTGAAATCCGAACGGGGTTATGATATGAATAGTCCCTTCTCAAACTCATTAATAATTCATTAAGAAAATACAAAGGAAATTAATGTTTAATGAGTGTTTGGAAATCGGATGAGACACTGCTTAGTATTTGCATCCTTAATTTCTCCTTCAAAAATGATTTTGTTTGAGAAGAAATATCAAACATTCGACACAGTGTTTCATCACCAGATGAAACACCTCGAAGTTCGTCAAAAATACTCCGCTNAATACAAACACCAATGACACTTTCATATAGAGCTTGCCTCAACCGACCTAAAGAAGAATATTCACAAATACCGCTACCAGAGGTATTTTTCTCAGGTGCGGCGATTGAGTGCTGCGGAGATGCTTCGGGTCGGCTGTAGGTCGATACGTTTTTGGCCTTTTAAAGCGACGAGTGGCAAAGTGTTTCGCTTTAAAAACACTATATAGACTTGACCGAGACCGGAAACTGCGTATGAAAAGTCTCTGGCACCTAGGGTAGGAGAAAGGCGCCCAAAACTTTGAAAATAAACAATACTAAACAGACCTGTTAACAGGTTGTCTTTCACTGTAACATGTGACTGGTATATTTACTTCAAATAGACGCATCTTGGTGCTTTCACTCCGCAGTCATTTCGAACTTGAAACTGAACTGGAATGTTTGTACGGATCCAACCCATGTAAGGGATTCCGGAATCCGGAAGATTTTTGCTCGTGAAATCCGGAATTCTGGGCTTTGGAATCCGGAATATAGCTTAAGGAATCCGGAATCCCACTATTGATTGAAATCCGGAATCCAAGTTCCACTGACCAAGAATCCCGGAATACAGACCTGGAATCCCGAATCTATGGCATGGAATCCAAATTCCAAGACAATAATGGATTCCTTTATGGAGCTGTCGCTTTGGTAAACTGGATGCTCACCTCATTGTCAAATGACTAGCCTGAGAAAACAGCCGACATTTTGCGACGCTTACCACTAGTAGTCCCCGCCAAATGACGTCTGAGAAACGAGCGCAGAAATTCCATACTGATGACGCGTCACTACCCAGATCTGGGTCGTGCTTCTGATTGGTAGTGCCGCTTGGGAAATTTGATTCAACCAATCAGAAGCACTACCTAGATCTGGGTAGTGACGCGTCATCAGTATGGAATTTCTGCGCTCGTTTCTCAGACGTCATTTGGCGGGGAACCCGTGGTAGATTCGCTAAATGTCGGCTGTTTACTCAGGCTATCAAATGACCGCTACTGTAGGGTAATTCGAACAAACAATTTATTAACATACCTTCTTTCTTTTTCTTGTTCGCGTTCGGAGGATTCGGGGTCATTGCTTTCTATTTCGGCAAATCTCCACAAAACAATTGCTGAAGTGAACGAGTCCAACACAGCCGCAAACTGAAAATCAAATAGGGCTCAAACTAAAGCGGCGATAAACTGAATCATGCTAGTACTCATAATAAAACTCTGTGCTGATTCATAGATTGTGATACTTGGACGTAAAACCCCACCTTCTTTTACGCGAGCGCAAAGGGGCCGTCTGATTAATGATTTCTGATTTCTGGTTAGATTTCGATTGGCTTAATAAAGCTTTTGACTTACACGCATGGGTTTCAATTCAATTCAGTTTACAGTTACAGCCTTTTTAGCTAGTTGTTTACAATTACATTTATAAACGTTTCTATTTATATTCAAGTTCGAGTAGGATGGCTAAGTTGGTCACCATAATACTAATTACGTTTCGTTTAAAATATAGTACAGGCGAGGAACCAGAAGGAGCAAAATAAATACTGAATTGAAATAAATAAATAAATAAATCATAAAACAGAAAAGAACAAATTACAATTTTTTTGCAAAAGTAATAAGGACAAGTTTTAAACGAAAGTGAGGTTAGGCAGAATTAGGCAATGTTAGGTTTCGACAAGTATTGCTCGGACAATATATAACGTTTGTTTTTTTTTTGTGAAAAAGCGTACCATTAATGAAAACTTCGTGTGCAAATATATATGAGATATGATATTCCCATGAGATGCATAATCATTGATCATTACCCTAAATATTTAATATGGCCATTGCGGACCAGAGAGTAGCACGTTCCATCCTGGCTTCTTCTCTGAATGTTTAACTGTCCTATCCTTTTTTTCAGTAGACTCATTTATCATAAATTTAGTTTTACCGTACTTATTGACAATTTATTTACATCACTCTATTCTTTCACCTTTTCAAATTAAGTTCGTAGTTCACAAGAGGTCGTTCGCCGAGTCGAATACGTTGGTATCATCAACAGAGCAGTTGGGTAAGTCGTTTATATAAATAAGAAAAAGTAATGGTCCTAATGTGCTACCCTTGGGAATTCCACAGCTCATCGTTTACATAGGTCATTCTGTGGCCCCGTCCACTCGTATCCGGATACTTTCGAATTCGTAACTTTTTCTGTCGTGATTCAAAACTTTCCACGTCCAAACGTATCCGTATTCAAATCGAATTTGGCCCTCCACACGTAACCGACACGTATCCGGGATTCATCCTGGTACCCAGGACACCTCTGGGAATATTGGCAACAAAACATGCGTTGAGGTTACCATCTTGAATACAGTATTCACGGTAAAGAACTGGGGTCGATCTTGTTACGTCACCGAATAAAAAAGATATCCGGATTAAGGGTCCACACGATTGCGGATTCATAGAGTATTCAAAAATTTCCACTTTGAAGAGCGGATTCGTATGCCAGATTCACCGGATACGTGTGGACGGAAGCAGTATCCGGAAAGGAAAAGTTGAGGATTCAAAAATATCCGGATACGTGTGGAGCGGGCCTGCATTTCGTAATGCAGTGTCGCTGTTGTCTGTTTGTTAGGTAGCTACTTGGACTTGCTACAAGTCGACCCCACGAGTTTCTAAGCGAGCGGAGCGAGCTATTCAGGCCCTGAAGCGGCCATGCGAGCGGCGAAGTCGCGAGTCCCTGCGCCATATTAAATCAGACGAAGGATTTTTTGAAAGTCTAGTAGCTACTGAACCATTTCAAACCTCTAATACCCTATGCTTCTAACTTTTTAAGTAAAATTTCGTGATTTTCAGTATCGAATGCTTTCGAGAAATCCAGGAAAACATCAGAGGTGTATAGGTTGCTATCAATAGCCTTCCTTAGAGTGTCAGTGAGTTCAGTTTTGACTTGAGATGTTGAGTAACCTTTGCGAAATCGGGAAATTGGTATTGAAACAGAATATTTTGCTTTTTTGGTTTATCGTAAGGGAAGCTGTCAGTGAAGCTGTGGAGCGGTTGTAGTGCTTTAAAGCACGTAAAACTGGAATTAGACTTTTCAAAGTCAGTATGTTATTCAGCATCGTAAACTAGAAGGAAGGGCGTCAAATTGCGCGCAGGCAAAGAACCAGAGGGTGGGGAATGGACGCCTCCCTCTCCCTCTTTGCTTTGAAATTCTCATGAAACATGTTAGTTATGAAAATCGAATTTATCGACTTTTCATCGGAATAAAAAATACCAATATATATTAAATCAAAGAAAAAATAGAATAATGAAATAAACGAAAGCTCCTATTGTGGTGAAGACGCCGTTGATAAAGGTTGGAAGAGTTCATCTAGTCCTTAATTTGTATTGTAATGTATTTTGTTCCTACAGTGTCATGTTTTAATTCAGCCTTTTCAAGTAAAATGTTTTTTAGTTGTTTACAAAGAATATTTTAAAATTTGTTTTTCACACATCTGTGGAAGAACAAAAATTAAAGAAAAAAAATTTATTCCTAGAAAAGCAAGGTAGTAATAAGTATAGTTAAGTTTTTAACAGCCAAAGATTCCCAATCAAAATTCAAGTACAATATTCATTGGAGTTGCAGTATGTAAATGTGTCATATCAAGAGCCATAATAGGACTTGGTCATATGAAGCCGACTATAATGGTAACGTTTATGTTTATTTTAAATGTTACAGCTGTAACAACCCTGTCTTCGTTGGTTTGACTTTTTTTCTTATAAACACTAAAAGGGCTACTTTTTTAAGGATACTGCGTAAATTGTTACCATTGTTCACGTTAACATTTCTATAGCTGAAAATCACTACTTTCCAAATAGCTATTAGAGATCAAAGCACTAAATGGAAATTATTCGACCAATTTCAGCTGTAATTTAAGCGTACATTTCGTTTATCATGTTTTCATTTATTTCGTATTAGACTAAAACGAATGAAAATGTGACTTACGGCAAATCCAAAAGCTGCTGGACTTTTAGCAATTTGAGAAGTTACTATTCGAAAAAAAAAAAACAGTAACAATATTAAAAAATCGAGCATCTATATAAACCACAAGAGGCTGAAACAAAACTGCGTGTTTACTTACCGAAGAAAGTTAAACCAAACGCAGTGGTAAAAATAATAGAAGCACAAGAAATACAAATAGCTGCGTTTTTCCAAAGCGTGTAATTTTTTATTTCTGAAAAAAACAATGCACCGTTAGTTTACTGATTTTTTTATTTAAAAATCTGAAAGAATAGATAGCCTTATAAAAGATACAGTAGGCCAATACTGTTCAGTTTAACTTTCATTTCATTCATACGAGCCTAATTAAAAAGAACTATATATTATTACCTTAGGCAAGTGTTGTTCAAATTGAATTTTTACGTAGTCAAAACTACTAAGAAGTAGCGCTTAACAAGCGTGTACTTAAATTTCATGTCACGAACGTAAATGCAATAAAAACGAAAATATCTCTCTAAAGGTAGTTGCTCGGGTTTTAACTGTACACGTCTGTACAGTGTGATACAAAGGACATTCAGCTATTCATCCACCGGGTAGCAAAGCGTTTACCCAGCTGGAGGACTTCCCTTTGAGGGCGATCTGCCATCTCAAATNAAACTGCGTGTTTACTTACCGAAGAAAGTTAAACCAAACGCAGTGGTAAAAATAATAGAAGCACAAGAAATACAAATAGCTGCGTTTTTCCAAAGCGTGTAATTTTTTATTTCTGAAAAAAACAATGCACCGTTAGTTTACTGATTTTTTTATTTAAAAATCTGAAAGAATAGATAGCCTTATAAAAGATACAGTAGGCCAATACTGTTCAGTTTAACTTTCATTTCATTCATACGAGCCTAATTAAAAAGAACTATATATTATTACCTTAGGCAAGTGTTGTTCAAATTGAATTTTTACGTAGTCAAAACTACTAAGAAGTAGCGCTTAACAAGCGTGTACTTAAATTTCATGTCACGAACGTAAATGCAATAAAAACGAAAATATCTCTCTAAAGGTAGTTGCTCGGGTTTTAACTGTACACGTCTGTACAGTGTGATACAAAGGACATTCAGCTATTCATCCACCGGGTAGCAAAGCGTTTACCCAGCTGGAGGACTTCCCTTTGAGGGCGATCTGCCATCTCAAATAAGTAATGATTTTGCGTTGCTTTGTTTTGCCTTGGTAGGGGGACTAGTTAAGTTAGTTTCACTCTAAGAAATTGAAACAGCGATGACGAAAAGTTTTAAGAATCGGAATACCCCGGCAAGGCGACATCCGGTTGAAATTAAATGATCGTACAATTCGGGGTGATTATATTTATAACGGAAATCATCCAGCTGGCGCTTTTCAATATGAATAGTAAATTTTGATTTAAGCTCCAGAGAGTTTCTTACTAGTTTGTAATAATAATAGTAAAGTCGACACCAGCTACCTTCACTTGAGTTTATATCCTCTTTTTTACTTTCAACGCTTTCCTTTTCTTCTTGTCTTGAGCTCAACAACGTTTGTAACTCCATGGTGTTCTCTTCCTTGCCACTCTGCGTGCTTATGACACATGCATGAAAATAATGAATGCCTTAAATAGAAATACCTCCTAGTTAAATATTACGATAAATAGTCTTTAATGACAAACAAGTTTAATTAAAATCCTCGAATTTGATATTGATATGTGCCTTTGGGCAATCCTTCGTTCGATATACTGATCTGTTGCCATGGACGCAGAGAAGCGAGAGACAACATTAAAAAGGGCCAGTCGGAAGTTACCAGGCAATGTTTTGAAAGCAGTACATTCCATACGATACTTAAATATCACATGGCATAAAACTTAAGTTTTAAAACATAGAGTTAAATAAACGCAACTTTGTTTTTTCAACACCCATGGCATTAGGATCGAGGTTGTAAACGAAAAAAAGAGGTCGGCGTTTTATACCCATTTTTACCGTAACGGAAATTGATTCAGTTTACTGAGAGTTTAACAGGTTAGAAATTTCAGTTTCATGGCCAAAAAGTAAAGACAGATCAAGTTCTAGAGCAACTCCTGGATGAGAGATTAGAGAGCCTTAGATTTGAGGACGAGTACTAGTACCAGTAGGAGATTTAACTTAAAGTTTTTGTGCGTGTTTTACAAAAATAAAAAACACCCCGGAAAGCTTCATTTTACTTTTTTCCACCAAAAAAGTTAGCACGATGATTTGAACTGAAGGCGGTTGTTAGTGACATTTCGAGTTGCGTTACATTATGTACGTCGTGACAATTATCACGTGTTTATGTCATGTGATGTTGTTGTTGAACTCGGACTCTTGGATGGAACTTGACTCGAGACTTGTCGAGATTTGTCGAGATAGTTTTGTTTTGTTTTGTTAAGAGCTAACAGTCTTGGAATAGAAACAACAGCGGTTAAGCCCTCTCCCGATAGCAAAATGATAAAACTTCTTTCATTTGATAACTTGTTCCCGCCACTACGACATTCTCGCTAAAACTCGTATAGTCCATCAGCTAGGGGGGTTGTATGGCTCACGTAAGGGGAACAAACAAAACTTGAATAGTCTTAATCTTTGACTAATAAGCATCACAAAAATGCATGATAGCAAGGATAGAGCGGTAGCTTTCACTTTGTACATCAAATTTTAAACTTGCCCCTAATACCCTTCTTTTGGTCGCCATCTTGGATTTGTAAACAAACCTTCGATTTTCTCTTAAAAACACACGATTTTGTTTTGAAGTTTAATTGAAATAATAGGTACCAGAGATATTATTTTAAGTTTGTTACAGTTAGTCAAGATAAGATGACGTCATATATGATGTCAGAGTGACCGCCATTTTGCTTTTAGAATGACGACGACTATCACGTTTTCCCGCCAAAATGACGCTTGTTCACGTCTGAGTAATCAGTACACAATACACAGTATTGAGAATCTTGTACTCGCAGTCGTCCTCGTCTCAGATTCTAAAGCTCTCTATTTTAATAGTGTAAGAGTACTTAATCCCTCTTCCGCCCCTCCCCCATCCCCAACGTGTGACCTCCCAGCTCCGCACTGTAAAAAAAATCTCTTAAAAAATCTTAAGTGTTATTTGTGAATGACGCTTCCGAAACAATGAGCGAGCTGTTTTCGGATGAACCACAAGTATCATTATGATTCAAGGTCATGGTGCATCAAAGGAACAGCTAAATCTCATCTCGACAAGGGTTCGTTCATCGGCACCTTTGATAAACCATGATCATAAATACTGAGCCGGATCCAGATCATCCCACAGGAACTCAGATAGAATTAGACTGAGAAAATAGTCCACATTTCGTGTCGCCATCACTAGTCTGGGAAACGAACGCAGAAATTCGATACTGATGACGCGTCACTACCTAGACCTGGGTAGTAATTCTGATTGGCCAAAAATTTGCCTCAACCTATCAGAAGCACAACCCAGATTGAGTCATTTAGCCGAATTAAGAACCTTAACGCTTAAAAACATTATCTAAAGAAAACCGGTGCTAGAATCGAATCCTGTCAGAACTAGGAAGTAGGAAGTAGTTAATCATTATGCATGAAACAGACCAGCTCCATGGCCTCTTAATGTGAGACAAACAGCAAAATAGAGATTAACATAGTCAGCGTTTAAAATTCTCCACAGTATAATTTACCCGCTGGAAAGAAAATTCCGAAAATCTCTGAGGGATGAAAACGCTAAAGTCACGTTTTATTAGCTTATGATTGTCTTTGGTCTGTCAGCACCGTATTTCCTGCTGTTTGATGAAGTATACAATAGCACTGTCATTTCGTCCTTGTGATTGGCTCTTCCCACTATCGGCGTGCGAAGTCTCCACTGGGAACCGTTCTAATCATAAATCTACTCGGGAAAGGGTTGACTCTAAGGGCTTGTATGGGAGATAGAGGCTCCATTTGATGGGCTCCTGGTATGGACATTTCTGCGCTCCTTTCTTGGACGTCATTTCCCGGGGTTTTCTCAGGCCAAGATAAAATAAGAACTTTCTTTTTGAGTGAGATGTTTACGAACTTTGTGCTCTGTAACCTTAAAAAACATCCGACATTTCGCGACTCCAACGTATGAGAAACGAGCGCAGAAATTGCACACTGATGTCGCGTCACTTCCCAGATCTGGGTAGCGCTTCTGATTGGATGATGAAGCAAATTTCCAGCCAATCAGAAACACTACCAAGATCGGGGTAGTGACCCATCATCATTATGGAATTTCCTCGCTTGTTCCTCAGACGTCATTTCCATTCTCGTTCCCAGAGCCTCCTAGGGGCCTGAGCACGAGGAGCAGGAGGCTCTGGGGACACAGGATTTGAAGTCCTAGATTTTAGGACTTCCGGTCATTTCTGATTTTCTACAACGTTTTAAAACAGCGTTCACTTCCTCTTGCAGAAGTGTCAATGACTGTAAATTTAGGTGAGTCGAAGCGTTTAAAAGAGAATCCTCCAACTTCCTTTTGAATCGGAAATGACCGGAAGTCCTAAAATCTAGGACTTTAAATCCTGTGTCCCTAGAGTCTCCTGGTCCTCGTGCTCCGGCCTCCAGGAGAATCTGGGGAGGAGAATGACGTCATTTCGCGGAGAAACCACTGGTGGTGTCGCCAAATGTCGGCTGTTTTCTCAGGACATGTGCTTTAAAAAATACAATAAAAACCCAAAAAATAGCTGCAAACAGGCATGAAACGACTAAACCACATTGCCTACCGACAATTCATACAACGAGTTGTAAACACCAAGACAACGTTTATTGTTACTACCACAAAGGCAAACAGAAATAAATACTTTTCTTTACACTACCCTGTTATGGAAAATAGAATTAAATAGAAAGAAAAAGCGCTTAAAGTACTATCTTAGTAATAAACACAAACTGTGGAGAAGGAAAATTCAGATCAACTCTCAATCCTTCGAAAAACATTACAATCCTGTACCCAGATTGCCTTGGACTCTGTCTGTGGGCGGTGATCTGGGTCGAGATGAACCTGGGCCAAACTAGCACCTAATTTTGAATTAAGTTTTATAAAACAAATTCTTTTTTTAACCTGTCGTTGTGGTTGCCATGCCATTGTTTCCA